GGGAGGACGGGAACGAGCCCCCTGAAAGTTTTACGACTCTTCGCCAGTCGAGTTGTGGGGTCACCCTGGATAACTCCACACACACGCGCACAAATCAAGGTCAATCCGGTTCGTTCCAGGAGTATCTAAAGATTTCCAACACAATTTGGAGCAAATCGTGTCCGCTTCAGCGAACGGCAGAAATCGTGAAGCCCTTACGAGTGCACATCCGCCGTCCATCCCTCCCGCCCCCTCCCCCAAACATTCGATGATCATGTTGCAGTACCAGGCCCCAATAGTCTACACATCTCCCCCAGGGCCTGCTTGTCATCTCCCGAGATGTCATTTGGTTGTCCCGGGGCCTGGCGAAGGCGCCAAGAGGGCGAAAACGGCCAAACATTTGTCATTTTCTGAGGTTTAGAACGTCGCGAGCATGCACAGCTGGGAAGAGCTAGCGCCGCTGTCTGAGGTCTTGCGCAAACCTGTCAGGTTTCCGGGGGGCATTGTTATTCGTGCCTGGCGGGGCGGGTGGTCTTTCAATCCCCTGGGGAAGTGTTCGGGCATCTACTTCCGAGCTGGCCCGCCAATCGCTCCCCTCCTCCCTTCCGTCCTGGCCTCCCGCGTAGCGAAATGACCCAGCAATTCGGGGACCCACCTGCCCGGTCAATCCAAGCCCGGGCCAGTCAGGCTCTGCAGAAACCTGCAACACCCTGCGGGATCCTGCGCGCTAGCACGGTCCAGTGCGCCCCTGGCTTTGCGGGATCCTGCAAAATCTGGCGTTTGTGCTGACACCCGTTTGCACCGACGCCCGTCACTTCGAGACCGTTTTTTTTTGGAATCGGCGATAGCCTGGGTTATCGGGGGGGGGGAGGAGGAGGGGGCCGGCCGATAACCTAACCTTCGCGTTGCGGGCAGCCCTGCATATGCCCGCGCCCCCCCCCACCCCAGACCTGCACAACCCGCAAACATAGGCTATCCTGGGGGGGGGGCAAGCCCGATAACCGGGGTGATCGCCAGGGGTCATCGCCGGACTCTAAAGAAACAGTCCCTTGGGCCTTCATCCATCCTTCAATCCCTCGCGACCCACGGCTGGGCCGACTTCGCCGCTGCGTCCCGCCAGGCCGGGGTGGGCGAGCGGGCGGTGCGCGCGCCCGGGGGCGGGCTTCGCCAGGCCGCGCAAGATCGCTTCCTGCGGGGGCGGCGAAGGGGCGGGGGCAAGACGAGGAGGAGAGGGACGACGATGCCGCGGCGTGGCCCCCCCCCAACAAAAAAAACGAGAGGAGAGGAGGACAATGGCGGCGGGGGCGGCGGAGAAGGAGGAACAGGTGGAGGGGGAGGAGGTGGAGGAGGGGGAGGGCTTTCTGTATCTTCTGGTGCCCCAGACCTGCTTTGGAACCTCCTGGGGGTCTCCTGGAACCTCCTGGTGCCTCCTGGGGCCTCCTGCGGCCTCCTGGAGCCTCTTGGGGCCTCCTCCTGGAGCCTCCTGGGGTCTCCTGGGGCATCCTGAGGCCGCCTGGGGCCTCCTGGGGCCTCCTGGGGCCTCAGATCTACATGCACACACAGAGACACAAATCACACCCAACACATCACACGCTAGACAAACATAACACACACACACACACACACCTATAACGCACAGAAGGCACGCACAACACAGAGCACACATCACACACACACACACATCCACACAGCACTCACAGTCCTGGGGCCTCCTCGAGCCTCTTCCGGTATGCAAGTCGTGCCTCCTGAGGCTTCCTGGCGGTCCCTGGCACACACATATCGCAAGGTGTGGCAACCCCACTTGTGCTCGAGTGCGACCTCGCTATTGCATGTCACTCCCAGCAGCTAATGATCCTCCTCCTCTTCTCCTCCTTCTCTCTCCCTCCACAAATTGTCTCGTGGGAGTCGTGCTTGCACTTCTCTTGTGAATCGCTTCGCTCACTCCGCCAGCCCATCTCGCATCACTCGTACGAGCCTGGGCACACGCGCACGTGCCACTTGTCTATGTGTATCTCGCCGATGCCCTGGCGGTGCGAGGGGGTCTCGGGCCCACCGCGTCTCCGGGTCCTCCTCCTGGGGCAGCAGCCCCTCGTCGCTGAAGAGGTCGCCCTCGCCCGTGAGCAGGGCCGCCCCGAAGACCCGCCGCTCGCACTCCGCGAGCCGCGCCGCCGCCGCGGGGCCGCTGATCTCGCCGCCCGCCAGCTGCCTCGGGGGAGGGACCAGCCAAACTTACGTCGGGCCTACAGGGGGATCTTCGACAAACAAATAATAATAATAATAATAATAATAATAATAATAAAAATAATAATAATAATAATAATAAAAAACAAAAAAAAACATAATCAAAGCATAATCCAAAAAATAGTCTGGGGACTATTGTTTGAATATGTTTTGACCTTTCTGGTGCATTTTGGGGGAACCTTTCTTTTTCGTCGAAGATCCCCCTGTATGGGGGACATGCCCGACATAAAGCTAAACTGCGCGCGCGCCGGTCGGAAGGCGCGGGTACAAGAACATACACACAAATAAAAGGAATCCCCATATTTTCCCACGTGTTCTGGGATTTTGTCTTTTCCCCACCCCACTTCCCGTATGTTCCCATCTTTTCCTGGGCATCGAAGATTCATTGTGTCTGTGTGTTTTTCCCCTCCTGGGTACAAGGCGGCGGCGAGCGAGAGGGGGGGGAAGCGAGGAGGAGAAGGCCTTCTCGGGAGGCGGCGGAATGCCTCAAAAACCCTCGCGCCTTCCGATGAGTTTTGCGTGTGTGTCTTCCGGGAAGGCTTAAAACACCTCTCCGAGGGCTTTGGGACTTCCGAGCCTTCTGAAAAGGCCCGCCCCTTCTCACTTCCCACCCTCGCTCGCCGCCGAGCAAAAAGCATGAAGTAGGAAGGTGGATCAAGACGATCGGTGCAGGCCCTCCGAGAGAAAGCCAGAGCACAGCAACATCAGATCGGCTCTTGAAGCAGGCAGGGCGCTTGAAGCGGATTGGGGCCTGGTGCTCCCAAGGGTACGAGCGGCGTGTAAACAACCACATCTCGGCGGATGGTGTTGGGGAATTGTGGCGGGCTCTCGGATCCGAGAGGCTCTTTCGCCTCGCGATGGCTCCCAACAGCTGCGCCTCGCCGAGAGCGCTCCGTGCGTGCCCGAGCCGTCCCGAGCGGCCGCCGCAGGCCCGAGTCAGCAAGCGCGAGGTGGGATACCCAGGAAGCACAAGCATACTCTGGGCCTTGCGGCCGCGGCAGGCTGAGCATCGTCTATCCTATCCCCATCCCCAGCGGCGCGGCCCGGGCCCCGCTGGCCGATTGACCCTCTGGGATGGGGATATATAGGCCGTGTATCCTTCGGGCTTCGAGGGGCCTATCCCCAACTGGGGGAGACAAATTTTGTGGGGGTCTCGACGGGGAGGGGGAGGGGTACTTACCAGCCTGGAACATATCCCTATCCCCATGCTGGGCACCTCCTCATCACGATGCCAATCTTAGGGATTCCCTCACTCTTTGAGGGCGGATCCCTGAGATCGTCATCGCCTTTTAGCGTGTCCATCTTAGGGATAGGGATAGGGATACGTTCAAAGCTGGTAAAGATACGGGGCTGGGGGTCCGTTGCACGATGCTGACAGGAGGAGGAGGGGGACGAGGAGGAGGAGGAGGAGGAGCAGGAGCAGGAGGAGGAGCAGGAGGAGCAGGAGGAGGAGGGGCAGGAGGAGGAGGAGGAGGAGGGGATGGGGATGGTTGCACGATACGGGCAGGCGGGGCTCCCTGGTCGCAGGAGCGAGGCGGGCTGCCCCGGGAGGCCCCAGGCGCGCTCGGGGCCCAGCGGCCGCCGTAGACGCCGGGTGCGCGGAGGGGCGGGCCAGGGAGCTCTTCTGCGCGCGGCCTGCCGGGGGAGCACAGTGAAGGGGCCCCAGGACACGCAAATAGATACACACACAAATCAGAGGATTCCCCATATTTTCCCTTTTTCTTTTCTGGGCTTTTGCCTTCCCCCCCAATCCCCATCGTTTCCCATAGTTTCCCGGGAGTCGACGATTCCTTGTGTCTGTGTGTTTCTCCCCCTCCTGACACGGGGCGGCGGGCACCGAGGCTGCCGGAGCTCCGCGCGGGTGTCTGGCGCCAGGCCCCTGCCGAGCCCAGGAGCGGCGCAGACGCCAAGCTGGCTTGGCCAGGAGGGCACACACACCCACACACACACACACACACACACATCTGGGGCCCAGGATGGACCTGGTCAGGATCGGCGCTCATCAGCCTTATTCTCTCCGCCAGAGTGAGAGGACAGAGAAGCAGTTCGGAGCACAGACATTAGGCTCCGAAGCTCAGAAACCTTCTGCTTGTGTGGTTGTTCCTCCTGCGAGCCTGCGCAGCAGCTCGATGTCGGCACGGTAGTAGAAGGCGAAGGGGGGCAGGTCGTCGCACGAGCCTGAGGTCAGAGGAACAACAAATGATACCCATGCCGCTGCTCGTGCATTCTATGTAGAATGCTTGCGCCACGGGAGAGGTCCGAAGAGTAGAGGTTTCGGTGCCTTTTCGCTTATCCTTGAGAAGGGGAGGAGGCAACTTCTGGGAGGTCTTTGCGGGAACGATCAGAAGCTGTTGAGCCAATTGGAGGGCCATGGAGCCGGCTTAGTCCAGACTAAGCCAGGAATTGAGCTGGACTGAGCCGGATTAGACGCACTTGAACTGGAGCATGCCAGGTGAGGCTGGCTGCCAGCCACGGCCATACCAGCGCCGATGCCGAAAGCAACCTCCCGTGAGGTGCACCCTCACGAAAGTCGGGGGGAGGCCGCCGCGAAGCAAGCTCGAGCAGTTGCTTCGATATCTTCTCCCCCTCTGAGGGGTACCTTGCGCCACACCTGCATGAGTGAGTGTTGGGCCGTAACTGGGGCCTCCAGCGGCCGTTCAGGGCGATCCGGGCAGCCCTGGAATGCCCTCGGCCAGGCGCAGCTGCTGATTATCCCGGCAAAGCAACCTAACGGCGATGTGTAGGAGCAGATCTGGAAGCATTCCCCTTAAGATTCAGATGAGAATCCACTTGTAGAATTCTGCTGTTCTCGCAGTCGTAATCGCATTCGCGATGACAGTCGCAGTGGCCTGCATCAGCCTCAGCCTCAGCCTCAGCCTGCCTCAGCATCAGCCTCAGCCTCAGCCTGAGCCTCAGCCTCAGCCTGCCTCAGCCTCAGCCTCAGCCTGCTTCAGCCTCAGCCTCAGTCTGCCTTCAGCCTCGGCCTCAGCCTCAGCCTGCCTCAGCCTGAGCCTGCCTCAGCCTCAGCCTCAGCCTGCCTGCCTCAGCCTCAGCCTGCCTCAGCCTCAGCCTCAGCCTGCCTCAGCCTCAGCCTCAGCCTGCTTCAGCTTGAGCCTCAGTCTGCCTTCAGCCTCAGCCTCAGCCTCGGCCTGCCGCAGCCTCAGCCTGCATCAGCCTCAGCCTCAGCCTGCCTCAGCATCAGCCTGCCTCAGCCTCAGCCTCAGCCTGCATCAGCCTCAGCCTCAGCCTCAGCCTGCCTCAGCCTCAGCCTCGGCCTGCATCAGCCTCAGCCTCAGTCTGCCTTCAGCCTCGGCCTCAGCCTCAGCCTGCCTCAGCCTGAGCCTGCCTCAGCCTCAGCCTCAGCCTGCCTCAGCCTCAGCCTCAGCCTGCCTCAGCCTGCCTCAGCCTCAGCCTCAGCCTGCCTCAGCCTCAGCCTCAGCCTGCTTCAGCTTGCCTCAGCCTCAGCCTTCAGCCTCAGCCTCAGCCTCTTCAGCCTCTGGCCTCAGCCTCAGCCTGCCTCAGCTCTCAGCATCAGCCTCAGCATCAGCCTCAGCCTCAGCCTGCCTCAGCCTCAGCCTCAGCCTCAGCCTCAGCCTGCTTCAGCCTCAGCCTCAGTCTGCCTTCAGCCTCGGCCTCAGCCTCAGCCTGCCTCAGCCTCAGCCTGCATCAGCCTCAGCCTCAGCCTCAGCCTGCCTCAGCATCAGCCTGCCTCAGCCTCAGCCTCAGCCTGCCTCAGCCTCAGCCTCAGCCTGCTTCAGCCTCAGCCTCAGTCTGCCTTCAGCCTCGGCCTCAGCCTCAGCCTGCCTCAGCCTCAGCCTGCATCAGCCTCAGCCTCAGCCTCAGCCTGCCTCAGCCTCAGCCCTCAGCCTCAGCAGCCTGCCTCAGCTTGCCTCAGCCTCAGCCTCAGCCTCAGCCTCAGCCTGCCTCAGCTTCAGCCTCAGCCTCAGCCTCAGCCTCAGCCTCAGCCTCAGCCTGCCTCAGCCTCAGCCTCAGCCTCAGCCTGCTTCGCCTCAGCCTCAGCCTCAGCCTCAGCCTCAGCCTGCCTCAGCCTCAGCCTGCCTCAGCCTCAGCCTCAGCCTGCCTCAGCATCAGCCTGCCTCAGCCTCAGCCTCAGCTGCCTCAGCCTCAGCCTCAGCCTGCTTCAGCCTCAGCCTCAGTCTTCCTTCAGCCTCGGCCTCAGCCTCAGCCTGCCTCAGCCTCAGGCTGCATCAGCCTCAGCCTCAGCCTCAGCCTGCCTCAGCATCAGCCTGCCTCAGCCTCAGCCTCAGCCTGCCTCAGCCTCAGCCTCAGCCTGCTTCAGCCTCAGCCTCAGTCTGCCTTCAGCCTCGGCCTCAGCCTCAGCCTGCCTCAGCCTCAGCCTGCCTCAGCCTCAGCATCAGCCTGCCTCAGCATTCAAAATGTGGCCCTGGGAATGGAATTCTGGGAACTCGAAGAACACGAAGTGGCCTACAGTTGGCTCCGGGCATTCAAAATCATGCCCAGGAATGGAGTTCTGGGAACTCGAAGACCACGAAGTGGCCTACAGTTGGCTCTGGGCATTCAAAATCATGCCCAGGAATGGATTTCTGGGAACTCGAAGACCACGAAGTGGCCTACAATTGGCTCCGGGTATTCAAAATGTGGCCCGGGAATGGATTTCTGGGAACTCGAAGACCACGAAATGGTCTACAGTGGGCTCCGGGCATTCAGAATGTGGCCCGGGAATGGAGTTCTGGGACCTCGAAGACCACGAAGTGTGTAACCGTTTGCTTAAAACGACTTCCGCGGATTCTCCCCGGCACCCGCCCAGACCCCCCTGGGGAGTCAAGATGCTCTCCTTTGACACTACTACACACCTATCAGTCTTCGCTGTTAGGTAAAAAAAACACACCATGGCTAGAAAGCCGCCCAGGACCGACGAAAACGTCCGAAAAGCTCTAACCTCCGAGGCACAGGGGGTCTTCTCTGCAGATGTATCGCACCAAACCGCCCAGATGCAATATCCCTGATGCAAAGACGGGGCCCTGAATGAGGCCACGTCTTCACTGTGCTCTTCGGCTTAGGGGTTCTCTCACTCCCGATGACACCTTCCCTCCTCCCCCGTGGCGCCCCCGAGAGCCCCCGCGCGTCAGGAAGCTGCTCGACGAGCCCTCGCCGGCGCCCCGCCCTGGCTGCAAGGCGCCCGGCGGCTCCTGGAGGCCCCCGGGGGGGGGGTCAGAGCAGTGACACGGGGTCGGAGGATCGCGCCGCATCGTCGATGCTGCACCACTGCATCGGCACTCAATCTACATACGCACATAGATCGGCGACAGAGACCCAGACCCTTCGCGTGGTGAAACAAGCGCGACGGGAGGTGTTTCATTCCTTCCAGCCTCTGAGAAGCCCTCGCCGGGGCCCAGGACCGTCAAAAAACGACTCGGGATGAACGGCTCGGGATAAAACACCGGTCCCGAGGAAGGGGTCCAGACCTCTGGAGGTCGACGCTGTGAAACAATCACGACGTCGGGGGTCTGGGGACGATACACCAGCGACGTAGGCGTGGATCGGGCCAGGCTCCACAACGAACCGCGTCGCCGATGCATCGGCGATGCGGCGCAATCCTTCGACCACTATCTACGCCGACCCCATCTCCCAGACCCCCGACGTCATGAACTCTTCATGACGTCTACGCCCAAAGGCCTCGAGTCATTCCCTGGGACTGGCTTCTCATCCTGCGTCGTTTCGTGACGGCCCCGAGGCCTGGCGAGGGCCCCCGGAGGCCGAAAGCGGACCAAAACCTCCCGTCGCGATTCTGCTCACGACTCGGAGGGCCTGGGCCTGGGAGGCCTGGAGCTCCGCAGGGGCGACGAGGAGGAGGAGGAGGAGGAGGAGGAGGAGGAGGAGGAGGAGGAGGAGGAGGAGGAGAGGAGGAGGAGGAGGAGGAGGAGGGGGGAAGGAGGAGGAGGAGGAGGCGGAGGAGGAGGACCGCCCCGGCGGAGGCCCCGCGGGTGCCTCGGCGGCAACTGCCGGCGGCCCCGGCCCGCTGCGGGCGAGGAGGGGCGCCGAGGAGGCGGCGCCGCCCGCGGCCTCGGCGGCGGGGCCGGCCTGAGCCTCCCGCGGCGGCCAGCAGCAAAAGCGGCGACAGCCGCACGACAACATAGAGAGCGAAAGAGAGAGCGAAGGAAACTCCTCCTCCTTCTCCTCCTCCTCCTCCTCCTCCTCCCTCTCCTCCTCGTCCCTCCTCCTCCTCCTCCTCCTCCTCCTCCTCCCTCCTCCTCCTCCTCCTCCTCCTCCTCCTCCTCCTCCCTCCTCCCCCTCCTCCTGCTCCTCTCCCCCTCCTCTCCCTCCTCCTCCGCCTCCTCCTCCTCCTCCTCCTCCTCCTCCTCCTCCTCCTCCTCCTCCTCCTCCTCCCCCTCCTCCTCCTGCGCCCCTTCGACCTCCTCCTCACACACCAAGGGTTACAAGGGAAGTGATGGAGGCCTCGCGCGGCACGCATGTGTTGTACAGTGGAGGCCAGTCCACAAGAAACCTTCCACAGGAAGCCCAATCCTGAGACCCCAGGACGTCCATTGATTTGTGGTGTGGGGGCGTCACGTTTTCCACGGCAGAACCATCCAAACCCAAGAAACCCAGGGCGGCCTGAGGCAAGTAGGGTGTTTCTTAGCATGGGTCTCCACTGTATGATCCAGGCCACATGCCGCTCCGTAAAATATGGATCGACGTTCGCGCGGCGATGCTCCGGCGAAGGTCCGACGCAGATCCAAAGCAATTCAGACGTGATCCGACGTGAATCCGACGTCAATTGGGTCTCAAGTTGCCGCGCGAGGCCACCAGCATCTTCCTCCGAACCTGGGGGATGTCCTGCACATGCCAACCATCGTCAGAACATCGAGGCCAGCTCAGAACCGGTGGTGGTCGATGTGGGAGACCAGGCCGGCCACATCGACCACAGCCACAGCCAAAGTGTTCATGGTGAGGTCGGCGGGTTGTCCCACGAGGGGCCATCCAGGAACATCCACCTACTCTTAGGTCGGGCCTGTCCCCCTACAGAGGGATTTTGGGCGCAACAAATAAACATATGCAAAACCTAACCCAACAAATGCGCAAAACTAGTCGAAACATCGTCCCCAGACTATCTTTTGACTATTTGTGAATATCCCTCCTGTAGAGGGACATGCACGACTTAAACTTACTTGTGGTTGTGGTTCTTTGCTGTGCCCACAGAGCCTCCAGCAAGGCCAGCAGCACGTCCGCATGGCGCCTGATGCAGAGCGTGGGTACCCTGAGGTCTGGGCGTGGCGATTGTTTCACACTGAACGATCTCGACGGGGTTCGGGCTCCGGGACCCTCACAGATCGATCCAGCTCGAGAAACGCCGCAGGAAAATGGGTCTAGGGCTCCGGTCGCGATTTTTCGCGATATTGCCACTTGCTGGTACTGTCGGATGTCAGAATTGATCCGTAACCACCACCTGGGGATCGATCTTCGAATGACGTCGGCAGGCTGTGGATACTTGTGGCCCCCCAGGGGCCCGATTATATACCCACATCCACCGCCTGCCGAGTTCCCCGGAGATGGGTCCGCCAGGCGATGGTTATGGTTAGATCCCCGCCTCCGAGCCTGAGGCTCCGGTCGAAGTTGGGGTTCACCAGCCGCTCGCTGGCGAGCGTGCAGGGCACGGTGGGCACCCTGTCACGCAGTGTCTGGCGGTGCGCCGCGGCGTAGAAGGCGCCGCAGAGGTTCAAGAACTGCCCGGGCGGCTCGCGCGGCGCCCACGTCTCCGCGGCGTCCAGCACACGCTGCCCCAGCAGCCTGCAGGTGTACTCGTGGCCTCCGGTAAGTCGGGTGGGCGATCGGCAGGAGTCGGGTCGGTGGACGTCGGCAGCCAAGTCGGGAGAAGTCGAATCGGCGGGGAAACTGGCAGGCTGCGTAAGGCCTCCATTGAGGGACCAAGCTCCGAATGGAATCGGAAGTCGAACCCAATCGAATCAGAACCGGAATCCACCGAAGTCGAGTCGAATCGAGCCAGATGAATCGACATGAGCCCTGCCTGGGAACAGCAGAGTACCGGGACCGCAGGCCGCCAGGATGGTGGCGAAGCAGTGCTCCGTGTCCAGGGAGGAGCCCTCGAACTGCGCTCCGCAGCCACCCGAGAACAGCGTGTCGCCGGTGAAGAGCGCCTCCCGGGAGCCGTCCGCCTCGTGCGGCCTCCCAGCACCCAGGTCCGCCGCGGACGCCGCGGAGTTGGCCAGTCGGAACATGATGCTGCCGCAAGTGTGGCCTGGAGACGCAACAACTTCGAAGTTGAGGCCGCCCACCCAGAAGCACTCACCATGCCGCATGGGCCGCGAGCACGCTGGGACGTACTCGTGCTCGCCGCTGAAGACGTGCAGCGGGTGGGCGAAAGTGAGGACCGCGACGCCGTCTGATGAGCCAGCGCCTGAGAGGAGGCTGCTGCTGAGTTCTGCCGCTTCCGTCGGGCTGCACGTGTATCAGTCAGGTCCAGGCGGCGACTGGGATCATGACGCGTGGGCAAATGCGCGTACGACGCCCATATTCACCACGAACGAGTGAAGGACTGGTGGCGATTTGCGTGTCTTGCGAATTGCGCACACATGCGCAAACACACATACACACACATCTGTACAGACATGTGATCCAGGTCTAGGACCCCCCCCGCAAAATGCTGATGGCACCAGGCCCCACCCCCTTCCCCCCCCGATATGTCCCCCGCCCGTGGGTGTGGTGTGGGGCTGTGGATGTGGCGTGTGTGGCGTGGTACTGTGGTGCTCCAGGAGAGCTCCGGAGGTCGTCGTCGTCGCCGCCGCCGCCGTCGTCATCTCTGGAGGTCTCCAGGGGTCGGCGGCACCGCCGCCGCCACTGCCGTCGTCGTCGTCGTCGTCGTCGTCGTCGTCGTCGGGGGTGGGGCGTTGGCCCTCGACCCGGGAGCATAGTTATGTCTATATGTGCACACGCAGGCCGAACAGGGAGCGAGGAAGAGACAGACAGAGAGAGAGAGAGAGCAAAAGTGAAAAAGACGGAACGAGAGAGCGAGACAGAGAGAGAACGCGAGAGACACGCTGTGCGAGATGTGTCTGCACATCAAGTCCGAGTGGAGAGAGTGAGCGAGAGAGTGAGCGAGAGAGGGAGGAAAAAAGAGGGAGAAGGAGAGACAGGCAGGCAGGCAGACAGACAGACAGACGTGCCGACAGACCGACAGACAGAGCGAGAGAGAGGGCGAGAGCGAGGAGGGGCTGCGAGGAGGAGCACATCTCGGCCGCTGGCCGCAGGCCCGCGCGGCGCCTGCCGGCGGGGCGGCGGCCGCCGCCAGCGCCGCCACCTTCAGGCGAGAGGGCGGGCGATGTGTACGGCGTGGCCGTCGGGCCAATGATGACGAACGAGCGACGCACATACACGCACACACGCACACACTCTCACAAACACACACACACACACACACACGCTCACACACACTCACACACACACACGCAACCATACTTTGGAGCCCCCACACGGTGCGGTGACAGACCGTGCGGTGACCTCGAAATCCCCCAAGACCTCACCGCACGGTCCGTCAACGCACGGTTTTGGGACCTCGGATGCTCCAATCGCCCGAGACCTCCTCGGAGAACGACCCGAGTCCCAAAACCGCGTGGTGACCCCCAACCCCCAACGACTCACCGCACGGTGTGGTCACCACCCCGTTTGGGGACCCCCGACACACACCCATACCCACAGGGGGGTCGGAAGGGAGAGGACTGGCTGTGGCCCGGGTCCGAAGTGCACGGCGCGGCCGTCGGGCCCATGTTGACGAACGAGCGACACACACACGCACACGCACACACGCACACACGCACACGCGCACACACACACGCACACACACACACACATACACACATACACACACGTACAAGCACACACACACGCACACACTCACGCACACACACATGCACACACGCACACACGCACACACACACACACATACCAAACGGGGAGTCGGAAGGGAGAAGACTGGCTGTGGGCATGGGCGCGGGCCTGTCGGACACCCGTGGAGGCTCCCGTCCGAGCGGGGGCCGCCATCCGACAGCACGCATCCACAGCCTCCTCGGTCACCCATGAGTGGGTATGGGTGTGTGTGCTGTTTGTTCATGACGTGTGTGAAAAGAGGGGCTAGAATCAGGTCGGGCCTGTCCCCCTGCGGGCAGATTTTATTAGGCAAACGCAAATTTAAAAATATGCTCCAACACTCCAACAATGCCCAACAATAATCAAACGATCGTCCTTGTACTATTGTTTGGCTATTTCTTAAAATCCCTCCTGGACAGGGACAGGACCGATTGAGGCTAGAAGAAGACAACCTGCATTCACATAACCTTGTGGCGCTCCGCGCGTCAGGGAGGGGGGTGATCCGAGAACTCCGCGCGGAGCGCCGAAGGTATCTGTTTATGTTGTTGTTCTTGTTATTCTTCTTCTTCGATGCTGAGAGGGCCTTCCTCCTCCCCCCCCCTTGATCCAAGAAATCCGCGCGGATCGCCGAAGGTTTAGGTTTACGCGTTTGTTTGCTGCTTCGAGAGAGGAGGGGTGCTCTTGCACCGTACCAAGTTATTGAACTTCTTTCAGGCCTCGCTCCAGCGCGGCAACCCAAGGTGCACCCGCGATGCTCTGGGGTGCATCTTCGGGGGACCTTCTCGTCTGTCCCATCGCGCCGCTGTCGGTCTCGACACCGCGCCGAACGTAAATCTAACGCGTCGAGTCCGCGTCGAATCCGCGTCGAATCCACATGGAGTCCGCGTCTGCGTGGAATCGGCGGCGGAAGCCTTGCCAAAATCAAACAAGCACCATTTACGGGACAAGCAAGGTCCCCCAAAGATGCAACGCAAACGATGCTGCAGTACACCGTCTCGTTGGAGGCAACTTCTGAGAGGTGTTCATGAGAACGGTTCAGGGGTATGAAGCCAGATTGGGGAGGCATCCGACCAATTCGAGCCTGGGAATGAGCCGATCAAGGAGAACTGAACGGGATGATGCGGAAGTAAGCCGATTATGCCGGATTGGATCAGGCCGCATTTCAACAACGCTTGTACCGCCACCGATGCTGAATCCGCCCTCCATGTTCCAAGCAAAAAGTAACCACGGGGTCGAATCGTGACGTCCAACGTCCGCCCTCCACCTGTGCGCGTCTGAACAGTTGTGAAAACAGTGGCACCCTTGCAGCAGAAGACCACGAACAGCTTTGCACAGTTACGATGGAAGCCACGATGGGGTGTCGCGAAAGGTTGCCACGATGGGGGGATCCAGGTCGGAGTAAGGATGCCGATGGGGAGAAAGATACCGATGGGGAGCCAGTCGGAATAGGGCCAGGGATGTAGGGATAGGGATACCGATTGAGATATGAGATAAAAAGGGTAGGAAGGGTAGGGACTGAGGCACAGGGATCCAGATAGGGGTAGACAATGCAAGACAACGGGAGACTATGAGAGAAAGTGGGGATAGGGATGCGGATAGGGATGGGGATCAGGACGCGCAGAGACTATGGAAGACAACAAAAGAGAATGGAAGACGGATTGGAGACAGTGGAAGACCCCGGAGACAACAGGAGACGATTGGAGACAGCGTGGCCCGACCGACCCTGGGTCCGTTCGCGCGGCGACCCAATTCTTTATTGCACGCGTGTAGACCCCGTGTGGACAAGCTGTTCAGGGAATCTCAAGAGGTTGTGTTTCCTTTCCCCTCGGCCTCCCCCTCCCCCTCCACCTCCTCCTCAGCCTCCTCCTCCTCCTCCTCCTCCTCCTCTCCAAATCCTCCTCCTCCTCCTCCTCCTCCTCCTCCTCCTCCTCCTCCTCCTCCTCCTCCTCCTCCTCCCCCTCGTCCTCCTCCTCCTCCTCCTCCTCCTCCTCCTCCTCCTCCTCCTCCTCCTCCTCATCCCCCCCTGTGTCCTCCTGTGCCACTGGGCTTCGCTGGACGATAGAAAATACTCAGGGAATCTTCAACCTGTACCGAGAATCCTTTACTTTCAAACAGAGCCGCCCTCCATCCGAGCACCTCTCGCACAATTGTGAAATCCTGGTCGCTCACAGATCCCGAAGAAGTCTCTGGCGCGAGCCTCGTTGTGACAAAAAGCCACGCTCGATCTCTGCCAATGCTGGAGGCCCCCGCCCCACCGACACGCGTCGTGGAATGACGAGAAGGGCTTTTGGTACGCTGGGGATGGGGTGGGAAAGAGAGAAGGAAAAAGGAAAAAGGAGGAGGAGGAGGAGGAGGAGGAGGAGAAGACAGGGGAGGGGCGGGTGGAGAACAGCAGACGTTAATGCAGTTGGAAGCGGCATCCATTCCTAGCCTCCGTTACGCCCAGATGCTCGAGAAGCATCAGGGGTGACCCGAGGGATGGCCCCCAAAATGCAGGACACCTTCCGAACCAACAGTTGCCATTATGCCACACCCGCAAGGTTGGGGTTGACATATTTGGCTTTTAGATGTTTTATCCCAAAAAACTTCCGACCCACCTGCACGCCCTGCATACCGCGGCCGCCAGGCCCAAAGTGTGGCGGTGTCCCCTGGATATCCCACCTGCCACCCCCTGCCTTCGACGAGCGGCGGCGGCCGCCGCCAGGCCCAAAGAGTGCCGGTGTTCCCTGGGTATCCCGCCTCGCGTTCTTGGTCTAAGTCGGGCATGTCCCCCTACAGTCGGATTTCAAACGCAAAATCAAGGATTACTCAAACAGCTGCGACAAATGCTCCAACAACCGTCTCCAGTATATATGTTTTGCCTACTTTTGAATACTCCTCCTGTAGAGGGACAGGCCCGACTTGATCTTGGTTTGGGATCGCTCGAAGCCGAGCACTTCCAGCGTCTTGACTGCACTTGCTGATTCTCGAGCTTCTCTGCGTGGGTCCCCCGGGGAGGCGCCTCCGCCCTCTTCGCCGCCTCCGCGGCGTGCACCAGGTCGGCGTTGCCGCCGGCGTGGTCCCAGTGCTTGTGGGTGCAGAGAACAGCCTTGGCAACAGGAAGTGATGTGCGCGCGGGCCCGGATTCTCGACGTCAGCGCTGGTCGCAAGGACGACGGCGAGGAATATTAGGGTTGTGGGCCCCTCTGGGGTCTCAAATCTGGCGAGACTCTGACTGTAACATCTCCAACCGGATTTCGATCCACCGACATTTCGGCTGGCGCCCACGTGTATCGTGTTGGCCCCTTAGGCTCAACAGCAGGAGCACGTGATATGGGATATCCAGAAGAGATGAGGAGGACCGATAAACCACATGCAGTCGTCAGGTGTGCTGTGGTTGCATCCTTCCCGCCCCCCTGGCAACTTCTGGTCAATTCGTCCAAATGAAAGCTCAAACGGGCACCGTGACCATGCAATACCTTGAACACTCACCATGCCCACCCATTGTGCTTGTCATCTGTTCTGCAACATCAACATCTGCGTACAATGCATCATCTTACCACGCCGTCAACTCACTAGCTCGCCAACATAGCCGTAACACTGGATAACAGAACACACGAGCGTATTCTAGATTGAAGTTTTTCGTGACGCGACGAATTGCTAGAACCGACGATCGTTTGTCCACACGCCAAGACAAATCGAACACGAGTATGGCAGAGTACGGTATGTACTAGGCACCTTCTGGGGATTGCTGAAGGTGCCCTTGGCCCCCTGGGCCTCGGGAGGGGTGATCTGGAGGCCGTGGAGACCTCCTCTGGTACTTTGAGAGACCGAGCTGCGAGGGCATACGGCTCCCACGATCTGCTACCGACGGCGGCACTCTTCGTCAACCTCCTCCCCCTCCTCCTCCTCCTCCACCTCCTCCTCGTCCTCCTCCTCCTCCTCCTCCCCCTCCTCCTCCTCCTCCTCCTCCTCCTCCTCATCCTCCTCATCCTCCTCCCCTTCCCCTCCTCCGGATCCTCCTCCGGATCCTCCTCCTCCTCTTCCTCCTCCTCCTCCCCCTCCTCGCAGACAGCCAACCGCTGCCAGACAGCCAACTGACCGCCCGACGACCCAAACGGGAGGCCACGAGAACACCGCGTGCGCCCTGTGCTTCCGCGTGCAAGCGGCCGCTTCGAGCGCGGTGGGCCCAACGAGCGTGGAGTCCGCACCCTCCTCCTCGTGGTTCGTCCTCGTCCTCGTCTTCCTCGACGTCCTCCTCCTGCTCCTGGTCCTCCCCCCCCTCCTCCCCCTCCCCCTCCTGCTCCTCCTCCTCCTCTTCCTCCTCCTCCTCCTCCTCCTCCTCCGCATCCTCCTCCCCCTCCTCCCCCTCCTCCTCCTCCTCCTCCTCCTCCTCCTTCTCCTCCTCCTCCACTCCGTTTCCTCATGAATAACTCCTCCCTGTCGCACCCTGCAGCCAGTCGGAAGGGCGGGCCGGGCGTTTCGCCTGAGACTTCTTTACCCGGTATGAGCCAGAAGCTGTAAAGCCGGCAACAGCTTCACATATGGAGGGCGGGTGGCTTTGAAACATGTGGTCATGGCTTTGTTGCATCTCGTGGCTTTGAAACATGTGGTCGTGGCCGTGCACTTTCGCTTTCATTGTTTGCAAGAGTTTCACGGGTTGAGCGCGGGTCGTTTTCGAAATGCGGCTGTCGCCTCAGCGCCGCGGCCTCCCGTGCGCCGTGGCCGAGCGGCTGCGCGGCAGGAGAAGCCCGGCGCAGTCAGGAGCGCGTGCCCTCCGTCGGGCGCACGCTAGCCTGGACCGGGGAAGGCACCACCGACACGTGACGCCAAAACGGAATCATTCGGTGACGCCGCGCCGCGCGCCGATTATGCAACCGATCGCATTTCGCCGATTTCGCGCGCCGATTTCCGCCAAGCGGGTCCCGTCGCTAACCCTCGCGCCTTTATCCCACCGCCATTCCCGTATGGAGACGGGTCCCGTCGGTAGCCCCGTAGCGCTCCCTCGAGTCTGGCGGGCGAAGTGTCGCTGCGTCTTCCCCTCGGGCCAGCGCTGGCACTGCGCCGGCGAAGCGCAGGCGTTCCTGCGCGGGCGCCGGAGGCCGGGAGGCAGGCGTGCACCGCCGCTGCGGCCCGCCGCCCAGTGGACACGCCGATGGCCCTTCGCCGCCGCCGCCGTGGGGCCGTGGTGGCCCCGGGCCGTCGGCCTCTGCCTTCTGTTGCATCCTCGGGGGGCCTTTGTCTGCCCCGTCGCGCGGCCCTGTCCGCGTCGGATCCGTGCCGAAGCCTCGTCGGGCTCGCCGGAATCCCGTGCCGCAGCCGTGCCGAGGCCGCGTCGGAGCCGCGCCAAAATCCCCGTCGCGCCCGCACCGAGAGCCTGCGGCGGGCACCCGAGAAGACACCGAGCTGGGCGACTCGCCCCCAGAGGAGGAGGGGG